GGTCAAAATACTTGGTGAGGGAGAACGGAGGATAGAGAATCTTCGAAGAATGTCAATTTGCATTAATGGTGAACTTATGACGAGGTCAGATAATGGAAATAGGGAGTGAGCAGCAAATGCCGTGTTCATGGAATATTCGTGATAGATAAACATCGCACTTTCCATGCATCTGCTTTTATCAAGAATCTGTAATTCGAACATCAGCACTTCGAACAAGTTGCATTCGTGACCATGAAAGGAATGAGGTATTGGTCAATCACCTGATTGGTCAAACTGCATTATGCATAAATAAGCCGCCTTCTGTTGCTATATTCACCATTTGGTGATTATGATATTCACTGGAGTGATTAATATAATTACGTCTGCATGAAATCGGATCGATCATGATCAAATATGTGCATGCTAAATTGGACATTCTGTTTCATCTGGTAAAGGATTTTTTTTCGAATCACTTTTATAAGTATGTATACTAATAATTATAAACGTAACATGTAAAACAGTAGCATTCACAAACTGTGACAGTTAGATCTATTTTCTGTTGTTCAGAAGGTATGTTGATAACATGTTCAGCATATGTTCAAGGATGAGACGGTGTTCCTGATGAGACGGTATGAGACGTACCTTCATGGAGGAATTAATAATTAATCACAAGAAGGAGAAAATATACCTTCTTGAGATGTATCAGAAGCGAATGCATTCCGATGAATTCATGCCGTTTGATTTGAACCGCGCGTACTACATGAAGTTAGGCATTACTCGCATTCTTGCCAACTAGAGAAACTGAAACTGGTATCCAAATAAAATTGGCTCACATTCGAAGAGCTCTCAGACGCGGTGGTTGCCGAAGATGATTAATAAGGGAAACAGTCAGCAGTCAGCAAATGAAGAGTAACAAGGAAACTGTTTGAAGGGAACAACCGGGATTCAAGACCAGCATTAAAACGTACGAAATCTTTGTGAGGAACTGCAAAGAATGGTTAGAAACGGTGGAATACGACCAGCACTCAGACCCCAAAGAAATATCGAAGCCAGCTGATGCGTGCCAAAACCGAATGACGATGGTAGATTTCCACCCTATCTTGCGTACTATCTGAGTTACATAGGAAAAAGCGGTAACATTATAAACAAATGGATGAAAGAACGCCACAGTAGCTTAATAAGATGATAAAACATCGATATACGTCGTGACAGACAAGCACAGAAAGGAGAAGGAAGAAGACAAGCGAAAGATCGGCGGAGAATGAAGATGGAGTGCGAAATGAAGTTGCTTTCTCTGGGCATTGTATTATAAAAACCACACTGCATATTATAGAACCAAATAAAAACAAAACACTGAGAGAGAAACTAAGGCGAAAGATGGCAGAAGCCTTGATGAATCAATCAAGCCAATGTATGAGAGAAGATGTTGGTGTCAAACTATGTCCGCATTGAAACGAAGTTATTAGTCAACCAACTTCCATTATCGAAGCTAAAGCCTTAACAGCGAAGTTTATACCTGATTGGCCGAAAGATTCTGTAACATCCTGCTTTATGAATTGTATCACCCTCAAGACGAATCGAGTGCTATCAGAAACGTTGGAGAATTGGAATATAATGATAGTTATGAGCGCTGTCATCCTTTAGAAACCTGTTGAATTTTGTCCTTTCTCGAGGCATGGTGACCAACAGTGGCTTCACAACTGCAAGACAAACAATCACAGTTGTGACTTTTAAAACAGGAA